TTAATCCACTCATTTATCAATTTCTGAACCCTTAAACAATATTTAAACAATTATCACCAAAAGAGTTCAAATATGGCTTTAATCTTCTCAAAACATACCAAAAATTCATGCCAAATTCGTACAAAATGTACGTTAAATATTCACTTATCACTATACACCTTCCATCTAGAAACTCTTAATTTGAACTTTCTTTTAATTGTCTTTCGAAATCCCTTAAGTTTTCAGTCAGGATCATCAGCCAATTCCTTTTTGAAGTGTTCAGCCAACCATCTTGAATTTGCACTAACATTCTTATAAGACCAAGGACATCTATGAGGGGTGCCTTTCAAGCTCTTCATATGCATTGCTTTAGTTTTCCTATAATAACTCGCATATATTCTCCAACCACATTCTCTATTGCATATTGCAATGATTTTGTTACTATCATTCTTTTGGAACTTCAATTCAAAACCTTTAAGGATGGAATACATTCGAATTGCCTTTCTAAACACATGTGTGGTTGGGAAAATGAGGCCTACTACAATTTTAGGATCAACCATGTCTCTTTCCTCATTAAATTTAGGAAATTGTTCTCTATTTTCATCATCAGAGGATTGAATGGCAGTTTCAAGTACTTCAGCATCAACAATATTTTCATGCTCAACAAACTTACCCTCTTTCCTAGCCTCAACAAAGGCTCTATAATCACCACTAATTAATTCAGCATATTGTTGGTACTGTCCTAAGTTAATATTGCTATCCAGCCCACTAGTTACCTCAGTAGTATCATCACCAATATCACAGTTATCACTTAATGTGTCCCCATCTAAGAAATAATCAAAATCTGAGTCATATTCAGAAGATTGCTCACTTTCAGGTGTGTATGAGTCATCAGATTCTGTTTCTGATTCGTTCACATCATGATCAACCTCTGGTTCAACATTATCATTCACCCCACCAACCCCTAAACCATCATTACCAGTCCCAACTCCCTGATTAGCATTTATATTGCTATTACCTACAGTTTCAACACCATCTTGCTGATTCCCATTATTATTTTCTACATCCCCATTATCATTTACCTCTCCAACATAGATATGAATGTATGGTTCATCCCTAAACATCCCAAACATATACATGACTGTTGCTTCACTATTAAGTAAGGCAAATTCATCATCCGGCATTTTAAAGCAAATTTGAGTGTTTATGGGCATGTTCAGTCCTTTTAGCAGCCCCCAAATCTCAAATCTTGACATATAATCTGGGTCAATATTATTGAAATATTTTATATCTCCACCCACATATGTTAGTCCTGGATTTTTTACAAAATGGCCCCCATAATGGACTTCGAATGAGAACATACTTTCCAACGGTGATGACCACACTGGTACGCGACAAAAAAACAATAAATCTGAGTGAGGGACCACAAAACCACCTTTATTGAACTTAATTAACATACTGTAATTAGCAATAATAAACTTAAAAGACACTACCAACACCGACCCATGCTCAACAGACTAGAATCTTGTAAAGAAACCTATAAACAACACAATTATTGCATGAAAAGGACAGATAAGAAAATTCGGTCACAATCAGCCCGACATGGAACGAACATAATGACCACATGCAATATATATATTCCATCACAACCATACAAATACCCATTCTAAAACAAAAGCCCACTGCTTTGGGCATCCAGATCCATACAAAAAAGGGTAAAAAGTCGATTAAATACAGAAAAAATTAGGGCTTTGCATATTACCTGATTTGCTGAGATACTCTAAATATTCTACTTGTTTTTGGATTCTTCAGACCGTCTTTTGCTTTTGCCCACTTCTAGTTACCCTCTGTAGTCATTCGGCTTTGGTTCCTCCTTGATCGCAAGAAAAAGGCAAAAAATTTGGCAAACTCAAGATCAGCTTTGCCTTGTACTTTCTGCCCGACACAATGGGTTTGGAGGAGAAGAAGGGTGATTTTGTCCGTTCAGTTATTATTTGAGGATAAAGTTGTCATTTGAGTCCTAAAATAAACGGTGTGTAAATATCCGTTACTTTTCAGTGGACCTTGGGTGCGTTCTGCCTATAAACATATTTAGGGGTGTATTGTGTAACTCATATGAGAGTTCAGGTGGTTTTCTGCATTTAACCCTAATATTTAAATTTAAAGGGTTAAATGAAAAAACCCTCATGAACTATATATCTTGTTGCAGTTTGCCCCTCAAACTATTTTTATAGGTTCTTTGCCTCCTTTTATGATATAGTTGGATAAATCTACCCTTTTTATATTAAGCATTGTTATTTTTCTTTATTCCCTTTCATTTTCTTTTTATATTCTTCATCTTTATTTTCTTTAAGCATTGTTTAAATCAGTATACTAGATTAATCAATACTTGCTTATTTCTTAATTTCTCGTGTCAACATTTTATAAAAGAATTCTATGGTATGCAAGATTTTTTTTCCAAATGTTGAAGTCGATATCATTTAAGAAATTGAAGTATTCAAATATATAAGAACAAAATAGAGATATTGATTAATCATTTATTAATAGTATCAATATCCAATAAAAAATGAACTACTATTGTTGTTTATTCTTATCTTTTTATTTCACTGCAAATAACAATTGTTAACTTTTCTTTCTTATGTGATATATAATAAGTTTCTTTTATTATAAATAGTTGAGTAATTGTAAACTCTAATTGTTTTATAGGTACTTAAATGTTGAATTACTAGATTAATACACTTTATGATATAAGCTACATATATTTTGTAGTAACAAAGAGTTTGTGATGAATTATTAAGAATGAATTTAACAAATAAACAAATTGAAAAAGTAGTTCAAAAAATATTAAAAATTTTGATGTAAGTCTTTTAGCATTGGAGGGAAACATTGGCTAGTTCCATGAGAGAAGAGGAAAAAGGAAGAAAATAAAAGGAAAAAGAAAAGTGAGAAAAGGCAAATATGTGAGACTCCGTAAATTTTCTCAGTTTCTAGGTTTTATTTTATTTAATTGCATGTTTTTCTGCATTTTCTTTATTAGAAAATTTTCTGGATAATTTTTATAAGTAAATATAGTTTTTAGATGATTTTTCTAGTATCGATTACTTTTTGAGAAATTAAGGACGTATATCGGACGTGGGACCCGCTAGTGCGTAAAGTTCGAAAAATTTTGGCCAATTAGGTTAAGTGTTGGATACCGGGTTTATTTTAGCAGGTGTTAAGAGATAACTAGAGGATACTACATGAATTGGTGTGAGAGAGACAAAAGGATAGCTATGCATTTATGGAAGTGACAAGTGTCACTTGGAGATTACTTCTTACTTGTTGACTACTATTCATTACTTTACCAAATAAATCAAAAATTGACCAAAATTACCCCTTAATTGCTAGATCTTGGCCGATTCTCTCCAAGCCAAAAAGAAAGGAAAAGCTCTCAATTTTCTAGTCTCCAATCTTGCCCAATCTTTCACTTCAACCGTTTAATCTTTAAACTACTCCATAAAACCTCTTAGTTTGGTGATATTAAGGTTAGTTGTGAAGTTGTTTGGAAGGCTAAGGTGGTTAGTTGCTTCCTTTCTTGCATTTTAAGGTGAGCATCTAAGGAACTCCTCTTTTGTTCTTGATGATGTATAATTAATGGCTTGTGGTAGCCTAAGAGGTGTTTTTGTGGGTTATTTCATGATTTTAGTGAGATTGATGACATTTTTCTATTTAATTATGAATTTTCTGTTTTCATATGATTATTATGGTGTGGCTTGGTATGATGGTTGGAAATAATCTAGAATGGAGCTAGAATGCATAAATTGTGGTTGTTGCGGAAAATTTCCGCATTTGACGGAAAATTTCAGAAGTTAGGGTTTCATGTAACCATATTCTGCCTGGTACTGTTCCTCATAGTTAGAGGCCGAATTAGCCTTGGCTTAAAACATAAAAGTTGTAGGGAATGATATTTTATAGTTTCCTGCAAAATTTTATACCAATCGGAGCAACGTAGCCTATAAAAAGACTGAAATACCCCTGCTGCCCTGTTTCTGTCCGAACTTGGTAATCAGCTTTGGTATTTGGTTAATTTGATTGGGAATAAGATTGATTTGGTTGTTGATGTCTTCTTAAGAAATATAGCCTGGTATCTTAGCTTTCGGATGGCTTTGTAATCACTTGAATTGGACTTTTGTAGCCTGACTTATGGTTGGTTAACCAGAATGCGCTTTGTTAACCTGTTTTTACGGTTCTGGTTTGGTACATTGAGATTTTGACTTAGTTTCTCTACAAACTCGACTGAGTGGCCTTCTTCAACATTGTAGCCCTTTCTGTTAGTTTCGAAACGGTGTATAGTACACATCCATCCGATACTCGTAGTGCCAGTTGTGCCCAATATGCTTAATGGCGGCAAAACTGTTTTTAGGTCTTAGAGCTTAACTTGCATTTCCGGATTTTCCCTAACTTACTTTAGTGCTTATACGTCCTAATGGAGCTTTAGTTTTGGTAGTATGTGGAATTGGTTTATGACTTGTAATCGAGTCTTATTGTGCTTGTTTGAATATTTTAGGGCGTGACGGTGATTCGAGACGCTCTTTGGGCGGACGTTTATGAAATTTCACTTGCGTGCTTGGTGAGTGTACTACTCACTTGTTTGTTACTATGTGACTTTGCTATACTTGCAATTGATGCTTTGAAAGTTACTTGCACCATGAAATGGATTAAACCGAGAGTATACTTGATCACTCTCACTTTTTATGTCCTCTATACGACTGTTTACTGTATTACTTGATGGTATATGAATACACTGGATTTGGTGTCGCTTGGACGAGTATCCAACGACCATTACTGTTACTACTGAGATCAACCCCATTGGTAGTCGATTGAATCGAGCCAGCGAGGGCTTGGTCGTGAAAATTGACGAGCCATGGGGACTGTTATATGGAATCTTGTAGTATGAGACTCTTGATTCCGGTATACTCGAGTATTACCAAATTTATACTGTTTGGAATTCGGATCCGATAGGGGGACGTTGGGTGGAAGGATTGGAAGTAAAGTGGAACCTACGGTTGGTTACTTTGTAAACATTGACGGAGGGTCAATGAAATCCGATCAAGTATACAAGCGAGGAAAGGGGCTCTTGAGAGCCGTCCGTATCCTTTTACCAATTTTATTAATGTGTGATCTTGGTTTACTAATGGGGAGGTGCCGAGTAAGATGATAGTAGATTGGCAACGCCCAGTATCCCATGACACGGTCAACCGCATAATCACGTTGAGGATACTCTCTACTAGTGTAATCACCCACATCGGGTGCATGTTCAGGGAATCCACTGCGGAACACCCGACCAGGGGGACCAATTATAAGCTGTACTTCATCTTCTTCATCATCCACGGGTATTAAGTAGTCCAAACAGTGCTTCCTATATTCACATAGTTTCCTGACGTCTCGATGAGTGAAGTACCTGAAAGCAAAAGGCTGGTCACAAGTTGTCAAGTACGTTTTGTCGCCAATCTTCACTGTACCCCAAAACTGAACTACGCACTTCCAATAAATTGTTTGCATAAGAAGTTGTAGAAAACGTATGATCTGCTTCTTAATCACGGCACTGTCAGCAGCTGCAATAGGAAAATCAGTAAAAAAATATATATTAAAGGGTGCTTGCAGGCTACTACTATTGTATCATTTATGTATTTGTTAATTTGCAGAGTACTGATTGACCCGTGCTTTCTTTCACCGAGACAAAAAAAGTGAAAATTGTTTAAAACGTCTCTCACATTTTGTAAAATAACTTTTTTCATCTATCACTTTTAAAAATTTTACGTCCTTTACGAATTCAAATTGATCAAATTTGACACCTACCTAGATTTCTGACTAATTTTTTGTTAGAATCCACCATGTCCCTTGCACGTTCTCATTTTTAAATGACAAAATTATCAAATCAAATTTTACATAATCTGATCCGTAGTCCTTTACATTTCACAAAATGAATTTTTTCGTCCCTCATATTTTACAAAATGAATTTTTTCATCCATCATTTATCATGTGTACCAATAACTTTTTTTTTTAAAACTCATGTATATATCTATTTGATTTCACCTAAACAGTATGAATAACATATAATATATTTCTATTTAATTTCGCATACATGTATTGTTCAGGTGAAATCAAATAGATATATACATAAAATTTAAAAAAATATATTAATTTTTCACTCATGTTCATTTCGTTTTACTCGAAAATTGAAAACAAGGAAGACATTTATTTCTAAATATTATCAAGTGTTTATATCAAATTAAATTTGGGTAGAAAAAATAAACAAAGAAAAAGAATGACAAAAAGCTATAAATAATTGGCACTTCCAAATTTTAAAACAATTACAAGGCAAGTAATTTAACTGTTGGCCTTAAAGGTGGCGAGTAGAAATTTCAGATTTAAACTATAATTTGTTATCATGACTATAAAATTCGAATTAGAACCCATTAATTAGATGATTTTATTATACAATTCAATAAATAAATTATTACCTAATAAAAAAGTGCCACAAATATTGAAATAGATTTATATAGTGAAATCAAATAGATATATACATGGGTTTAAAACAAAATCATTAGTTTTAAACCCATGTATATATCTATTGAATAACATATGTAAACTACAAATAGTCTGTTTAGATGAAATCAAATACATATATATTGCATGGTATTCGTACTATTCAGGTGAAATTAATAAATATATACATGGGTTTAAAAACAAAAAACTATTCGTACAATGGTCAATGAAGGATAAAAAAATTCATTTTGTAAAATGTAAAAGATAAAAAAATTCATTTTGTAAAATATGAGGGATGAAATAATTCATTTTATGAAATGTGAGGGACTATGGATCGAATTATGTAAAATTTAATTTGACAATTTTATTCCTAAAAATAATCACATGCAAGGCACATGGTGAATTATGACAAAAAATTAGTCAGAAGTTTAGGTAGGGATCAAATTTGATCAACGTGAATTTGTAAAGGATGTAAAATTACACTTTTAAAAGTGAGAGACAAAAAAATTCATTTTACAAAATATGAGAGATATTTTGAACGATTTTTCCAAAAAAAAAAAAAAAAAACTCAAAGAAAGAAAGTTACACAAATTGAGGTTCAGAAGAAGTAATTATTTTCCCAAAGATTAATTGAAGAGCTTTAAGCGCCGCCGCTCCCAAGTACCTTCAAATTGGATGGCCCAAGCCTTTGTATCTCTCTTAACATCCATATAATCGCGTTTAATTTGTCATCGAACCAGTAGTTACTAAAATTGTTTTCTCTTCTAAATTGTTCGAATCCAGGAGCTTATCAGAGTTAGACTTCATAGCCATGACAAATTCAATTGTGATAAATAGTCCAATAAATAGCTATCCACATACATATATATTATATAACATGAGAGATTATTGAAAGAAGTACAAGTTGGTTGGTACTTACTGGCGGCAGCGGCGGCGGCGGCGGCACGAGGCTTGCCGCAGTGTACTTTGCCATTGCAAAATGTGCTCCAGAAAACCCACTGGTGAAAATTAAGGGTAGTTGAATGGGAGCACGATAGTTCACAAGGCCCCAAACCTGCCGTAGGAAAAGGGGTAGAGGGAGAAGTTTGAGCTTCCTTTGCCATTTGTACAGGACAAAACTGCTAATCTTCCCGATTGATCCTGTTCTCCGATTCTCAGTTCATATATAACACACGCGCGCGCGAAGACTTCAAAGTTTAACAAAGTCAATGGATGACAAGAGAAAAAGGACCGACAGGAAGAAGTACAAGCGAGAAATAACAAGGAAGCAAACAACAGTCAATAAGAATAGTCGTCCAAACAGTTCAAATTAATACTTCTCTCTTGCACTTTTTCAATTTATTTTTTATTTTTATTTTTTAGTCAATGGACTGAAGCCAAGAATTTTGTAAGCGAAACAACACGGAAGCAAAATCAAAAGCAAGAGCCGAAAGGGTCGTAAAATTGTACACTAATTTAGGATTTAAGTGAAACAGATTACTCTACCTATGTTGGGTTCTTCATATTAGAGGTGGCAAAAAAAAGGGAAAAAAAATGCAACTCAATCACCTACGTCTGTACTTTCAGCTTTGCATGAAGATGAAGCAGGTGGATTTCAAGTCTACTTACATAACGGATGGCTAGAAATAGAGCCCAAATTAGAATCACTAGTTGTGAACCTTTGATGATGTATGACGGCCTTCTGTTATTATGATATTGGACCTGGTGTGAGGCCCAATTACATTTGCATGGCCCATGAACGATAAAAAGTAAAAGGAGTGAGCCTTGAGTGGAGAAGAAGAGAACTAAAGTGTCGAAAGATCTTTACTTTATTGTTTTGAATTTGTTTTTTAAAATACAAAATACAAGTTGGATAATGGGTACTTAAGGAAAGACACCCAACCCATCTAATATATAACTTGAGTTTTGCTAATCCAACCAATCAAAATCCATCACCGACTAACTCAACATAACATTTAAAGTTCGTGAGCGGATTGGATGAGTTATTGGGTTTTAAGTTTATTTGTCTTCTTAATTGAAGAAATAATTGAAAAAAAAAAACAGCAAGTACAAAAATGAGTAATAACCCCCAATATAGACTGGTACTCAATTCAACATTTTGTTCGTTCGGATTTGATTGTGTTATAGCTCTATAATTCGGATGTAGTTTTATCGTTGGATGAATTGCATTGCTGAAATTGATCCTAAAAAAAAGACGATAGGTACAGCTAGGCCGTGAACAGCCAACCATCGTGCTGTAAAAATTGGATAGGTTCGATCTATAGTCATTAGGGCCTCCTAAAAAGATCTACTAAATTCATCAAGTGTTGCAAAGTTTCTGTATGTACATGACCTGTGAGGAATTTCTCGTCGCTTTCATTTACACTTACCATGAAGACTAGAAGTGGAAGAACCATAGGAAAGGGCATCATACATATGTATTTTCATGGACATATTTTAAATGGATTTTTTGTCACCAAATGATAGAACTGCGTAGCCAATCATTTGGTTATTATTGGCTTCTATTGTGTACACATTTTTGTATTTATTGTTATCTTTTTTAAAAGTAAATACTTTTCAAAAAAAATTTTATTTCACTTTTTCTAAAAATCCCTCTCAATGAATGTCCATTGGCACTTCTTAGATAAATCAAACATTCTCTTTATCAGTTTTGTATATTAGCAATAAGTTTTTTCCTAATGTTTTTGCTTGGCTTTTTAAGAATTTGCATGAGATATGTCATATTTATTTTATAGTAAAAAAATATAAGGTTAGTGAATTTTTTCTTGGTTTTTCTTTTCTTTTTGTTTAAATTTAAAGAAGAGGATTCGTGTGACGCCCCAACTTCTCCCTAATGCGAATCAAAGGGTATCCATGGGACGCCTGTCCAACTCTTGCCAGGACTCAAGTAATTCCATTCAAGCTTATTACCAGTCTATACAACACAAGTGAATAACTTAAATATAGTAAATGCGGAAGCGTTCAAGCTTAACAATAGTCATTCATTATCCAACCCGCACGTCGGGTGTTCAAAGTACATCATAAATCCCAAATATACATCACGCCCCAAATGTTACATTTCAATTCCAAAAGTACAACCCAAAGGTATAGCCAAAATATAATAGAAATCCTAAACAAAAGTACATCAGGAGGGTTTCTCCAATATATCTCTGAGTTCAATTCTGTTAAGGAAAACAAATCTACAGGGTGAGCAAAACGCTCGTGAGACCAAGAACACACATGCAAGCACGTAGTCCAGATAACAGTCCCAAATAACAATTTAAGAGATAATTACAAATAATTAATAAAGCCAGTGAAAGTAAACAGAAACAATTCAAGGATATAGTAGCTCTCAGGAGCTAAGTTTCACTTGCTGTGTCGATGACATTCATATACCTCCCCGCGATGACACTCCGTCAACCGGGTCGGTATTTCCAATCCGTAGAACTCCACTAACTTCCCATCCGTCCACCGTACACCGCTCCGGGCCCGCACGACATTTATAAGGCGATACTCCACGAGTATGCCAAGCAAGATCTCTCAATAGATCAAGTTTATCATGTGAATCTCATGGCTCACCGAGGTTCCCGACCAAACCCATACAGGCTCGAGTTCCAAGGTCGGCCTATGAGTTTGGGCATCCCCCATGTACATGTAAATGTCGAGGAGATTCACTCCAACGACGTATGCACTCACAGCATACCAAGTCATGTATACAAGTATTTGACAGGTCCAAGCATGTAATTCAGGATATGTAAGTCTAGCAAGCCAGGCCAAGCATGAATCAATTATTTCAAATGAGTACGAGTGCGATAAAGTACACACTCGACTCCATTTTATCAAAATCAGGTAGATTAAACAAGACAAGCATGTATCAAGTTCACAGGAGTTCAAGTAAACATGCACTTGACACTCACCAAGTAGTAAGTAGTCTCAACCGAAATTTAAGCGTTCACCGTGGGATCCTCTTGAGGGTTCTCGTGTGCGCCTGAGCAAATAATAGTGAAGTATCACTCATATATCCCAATTATCAAGAAAGATTGTACACTAGTACAATTTAAGGAAATTTCATGAAAACGAACCTCAATTACTCGTACATCGAAGTTTAAATACAGTTTCTTAAAGTACACGAGTAATCGAGGTTTCATTTTGGAAAATCAAGTATAAAATGTTCAAGAAATATTGAAGGAATAAGGAGTACTTGAAAACTCCCTTCTCTTGGAACTTGAAAAAACTTCAGGTTTGATACGATATTTTGAAAAATCGTATCTCACATTCTACATGTCAAAAATTGGAAAACTTGGTGCCGTTGGAAACCTCTTTGAAAGTACTAAAAGTTCTTAGAATACACTTTTCTTAAGATTCCAAATGGAAAACATTCAAAATTGAGGTCAAAGTCGCTGTTTTGGTTCATAAGGCAGATTTAAGTTGGTTTTTGGCCAACTTTGAAAATTCGGTAAAATTCACTTGATTGAAACTAGCCTTTGAAATTTGCAAATATATTAGTGTTGTAATCCAAGTTTACAAAAAAACAAGCGGAACAAGAAACGGAGTTGTGAGCACCAAGATATGGTAGCTCAAAGTTACCAAAATTTTCTTGTTAAACAAGGGTTTCCAAACTCAAGTCTTGAACTTTGGTAATTTAGTCGAGCAGCGAAATGGACTCGGATTGGTACGAAATTCGGCAGTATAATACTACTATATAAAGGGTGTCCCTCTATAAAATTTCATGGCAAAATACCTTCGGAAAGGTAGTCAACCAAACAACCAAAGTTTCGAAAAATCCCAAGGCAGAACTGCCTTGAGCTTTTTGTTTTCCATTCCAAACATTTGGTCAAGGAAAATCCTTCAAACATGGTTCATTTGTATAGGAAAAACCTTAGGAACATTTTTGATACATTTGGTAAGTGTTTTACTCCAAGAAATTCAATTGACAAGTCCACACCAAGTCTAACATCTACTTTGCCCAAAATTTAGGGTTTTCAAGAACAGGGCAGGTTTTGTATTTTGATCACAAATCCCTCAATTCAACTCAGAATTATGCATGATTGATGGCGTTGGAAAATACATTCATAAAACTATAATTTCACAGAAGAAATCGTTTTGAAATTCAGCACCCAACTAACTCAAATTCTAGCCTCAAATTGTAGCCTCTGTACTTTGTTCCAGGAAAACAGAGAAACAGGACAGTCATCTTAAAATGGTTGGTACGGGCTACTAGGGTGGAACTAGGGGTTGCATTTTATACCGTTGGAAATCTGGGAATGTCTAGTTTCAAATGCCACTGACGGCACTTGATTTCGACATCGGAGTACAGAGTTATGGACGAAACAAGTGAGCTGTCTGAGCATTACGGGAACAGTTTTCCAGATTTACTAGCTTCACGAAATTAATCCATTTGACCAACCAAACCTCAATATTTTTCAATGAAATTTTATACAACATCTATACAACATATAAACATCATATACCAGCCATTAAATCCCCAAAATTCTGCAGAAATAGGTACGTTCAAAGCAGGGGCAGAATCGAAACTTTTTACCCCATGCACTCCTTGAAGTTTATACTAATAATACACCATTAATCTACCATTTTGAGTACTAAACCAACATTAAATCCATCATCAAGCATCACATCAGCCATCAATCCCAGAGTGGGAGTTCATAGAGCACACCTTTCAAATTTTCCAACAATAACAAGCCACCCACATAAATAACTAAGCTCATAAGTGTAAATCAACTTCCATAAACCAAGTTTCTAGGTTTAGATCATCACTTACTCTAGTTGATGTCCAAGGCAGTGATTTTCGGTCCTTTTTGCTCCAGCAAAACCGTGAATGTTAGCTCCTTTTTGCAGCTTAATAAGGTCTCCAAGTGTAGAGCCAAGTATGGTTAAATTTTGGTGGCATTTGGTGGTGTTTTTGTTGGAGAAATGAGGATGAAAAATGAAGAACTTGGGTGTTGTTTTTGCAGCTGATGGTTCGGCCAAAGTGAGAGGGAAAAAAAGAGTGTTTGCTGATGATAAGGCTTCCGTGAGAAGCTTAGCAAATTTTGGTTTCAAGTGTACAAAAGTCAACTCTCCAATAGTGCGCATACGCGCGCGTTTTGTGCTTGATTCCTCTTGCATTTGTTTCACTAGTGTACTAAACCTCTCATAC